TGTGTCGCTTAAGTTTCGTCGCAACGAAGTTACGGAAAATCAATTAACAAACGGAGACGTAACAATATGAAACAATAGCCGTCTCAAGCTTGAGGGTGAATATAAAAATTCAAATAATATTCATGAACATAGGGGTGGGAGTTTAATTTTTTATATTACTACGATTTATGGTGCATGATCCAGTCTCAGCGTATGATCCAGTCTCAGTGTATGAACTAGTCTCAGTGTATGAACCAGTCTCAGTGTATGAACCAGTCTCAGTGTATGATCCAGTCTCAGCGTATGATCCAGTCTCAGCGTATGATCCAGTCTCAGTGTATGAACCAATCTCAGTGTATGATCCAGTCTCAGTGTATGAACCAGTCTCAGTGTATGAACCAGTCTCAGTGTATGAACCAGTCTCAGTGTATGAACCAGTCTCAGTGTATGATCCAGTCTCAGTGTATGATCCAGTCTCAGTGTATGATCCAGTCTCAGTGTATGATCCAGTCTCAGTGTATGAACCAGTCTCAGTGTATGATCCAGTCTCAGCGTAAGTGTTGTAATTAATCGTGTACACAACAAAAATTAATCAGAATTGTTGACACTGAATCCATTTAGTAAAGATGTTTTCCTTCTCATAACACGTTATGGTCTTGTCAAACAGGGGTTAAAGGAAGTGAAATGTTTCTTTGATGAAATTCATACAAAGTTACAGTAGGTGTACCTGTACTAGCCGTATATCATTTTCAAGCGATAGACAAGAGAGAAGGAAGCTAGTCAACGCCATCCAGCGTTAACTCTTGGGCTATACTGTTATAAAGTTGCTGTTATGTGTGGTACTTCTATTATTATAAAGTTCCTGCTACGTGCGGTAGTAATGTTGTTATAAAGTTCCTTCTACGTGTTGTAGTTATGTTGCTCTAAAAGTTGCTGTTATGTGTGGTAGTTATGTTGTTATAAAGTTCCTTCTACGTGTGGTAGTTGTATTGTTATAAAGTTCCTATTACATGTAGCAGTTGTATTGTTATAAAGTTCCTGTTACTTGTGGTAGTTATATTGTTATGAACTTCCTGCTACTTGTGATAGTTATATTGTTATGAACTTCCTGCTACTTGTGATAGTTGTATTGTTATGAACTTCCTTCTATGTGTGGTAGTCATATTGTTATAAACTTCCTAAGTGTGGTAGTTGCATTGTTATAAATTTTCTGCTACTTGTGGTAGTTGTATTGTTATAAACTTACTGCTACTTGTGATAGTTGTATTGTTATAAACTTCCTGTTATATGTGATAGTTGTGTTGTTATAAACTTCCTGCTACTTGTGATAGTTGTATTGTTATAAATTTTCTGCTACTTGTGATATTTGTATTGTTATAAACTTCCTGCTACTTGTGGTAGTTGTATTGTTATAAACTTCCTGCTACTTGTGATAGTTGTATTGTTATAAACTTCCTGCTACTTGTGATAGTTGTGTTGTTATAAATTTTCTGCTACTTGTGATAGTTGTATTGTTATAAATTTTCTGCTACTTGTGATAGTTGTGTTGTTATAAACTTCCTGCTACTTGTGATAGTTGTATTGTTATGAACTTCTTGCTACTTGTGGTAGTTGTATTGTTATAAACTTCCTGCTACTTGTGATAGTTGTATTGTTATAAATTTTCTGCTACTTGTGATAGTTGTGTTGTTATAAACTTCCTGCTACTTGTGATAGTTGTATTGTTATAAACTTCCTGCTACTTTTGGTAGTTATATTGTTATAAACTTCCTGCTACTTGTGATAGTTGTATTGTTATAAACTTCCTGCTACTTGTGATAGTTGTGTTGTTATAAACTTCCTGCTACTTGTGATAGTTGTATTGTTATAAACTTCCTGCTACTTGTGATAGTTGTGTTGTTATAAACTTCCTGCTACTTGTGATAGTTGTATTGTTATAAACTTCCTGCTGTGTGTGGTAGTCATATTGTTATAAGCTTCCTTCTATGTGTGGTAGTTGTATTGTTATAAAATTGTTGTTATAGGTGTTAGTGTATTGTTATGCATTTCCTGCTATGTGTTGCAGTTGTATTGTTATAAGGTTCCTCTTATATGCGTTAGTTGTATTGTTATGAACTTCCTACTATGTGTGATAGCTGTATTGCTCTAAACTTCCTGCTATATGTTGTGTGGTAGTTGTATTGTTACAAAGCTCTTGCTATGTGTGGTAGTTGTACTGCTCTAACGTTCCTGCTACATATTGTGTGGTTTATGATCTTGCTCAGTGAATGTTTCCATGTGTTTATGGACTCGTCTGAAAGCAAGAATCTGGCACTTGTATTTAAATTTTGTTAGAGAACAAGTTTGTGTAATACCCACATAAGCAATATTAATTTTGAATATTTCATATCCTTCTGTGATTTAAGATAAGAACACCATGAGCTGTTTGAGGAAATATGATACGTACACCCGTACTTGAATAATTACCTTCTTGTTTCCAGTACACACATTGCATTCGCCTCTCTTCAGGAGCTGACATGATGTACACGAGTGGCTTTGTGAGGTTAATCAGCTTCAAATCATTGATGCTTGTTTGAAGAACCTTTTGATCTAGAGCAAAGAGAAGCAATCATGTGTTTAGATGTTCAAAATAACATGAATGTTTGTTGTTAGTCGTTATGAATAAAAACTCTCTACAACTCATCCTGTACCCGGTACTTCAAGAAGAACAGTGATTTAATAAGGCGCTCAAGTACCAGGTACAGGATGAGTTGTAGAGAGCTTTTTATTAACAACAGTTAGGACATCAAAAGGAAGACCTTATTAAATCACTGTTCTGAGCGTTTTGATGTCCTAACTGTTGTTAATAAAAAACTCTCTACAACTCATCCTGTACCTGGTACTTCAAGACCTTATTAAATCACTGTCCTGAGTGCTTTGATGTCCTAACTGTTGTTAATAAAAAGCTCTCTACAACTCATCCTGTACCTGGTACTTCAAGACCTTATTAAATCACTGTCCTGAGTGCTTTGATGTCCTAACTGTTGTTAATAAAAAGCTCTCTACAACTCATCCTGTACCTGGTACTTCAAGACCTTATTAAATCACTTTCCTGAGTGTTTTGATGTCCAAACTGTTAATAAAAAATTCTCTACAACTCATCCTGTACCCGGTACTTCAAGACCTTATTAAATCACTGTTCTAAGCATTTTGATGTCCTAACTGTTGTTAATAAAAAGCTCTCTACAACTCATCCTGTACCTGGTACTTCAAGACCTTATTAAATTATGTTCTGAGCGTTTTGATGTCCTAACTGTTGTTAATAAAAAAACTCTCTACAACTCATCCTGTGCCTGGTACTTCAATACCTTATTAAATCACTGTCCTGAGTGCTTTGATGTCCTAACTGTTGTTAATAAAAAGCTCTCTACAACTCATCCTGTACCTGGTACTTCAAGACCTTATTAAATCACTTTCCTGAGTGTTTTGATGTCCAAACTGTTAATAAAAACTCTCTACAACTCATCCTGTACCTGGTACTTCAAGACCTTATTAAATCACTGTTCTAAGAGAAGTACCAGGTACAGGATGAGTTGTAGAGAGCTTTTTATTAACAACAGTTAGGACATCAAAATCTTGAGAACAGTGATTTAATAAGGCAGTGTTTTGATGTCCAAACTG